TGGTACCTTTTAGCAAGATGTAGTTCTTATCTTATCTCTTACTTATCTGTTACATAGTTCTATTTTTGCTTTTGCTTTGTCTGAGATCAGGTTTGATACCCCTGTTTTTTAAAAAAAAATCCATTTTTTTTTTACTTCAGCTGAAGCATAATATATTCTGCTCCAGCCTTTTACCTTTACTCGGTATGTATCTCTGTGCTTCAAATGCGCTTCTGGTAAACAACATATTATAGGATTTTGGTTTTTAATCTACTCTGCTACCCGTTCCTTTTTATGGGACACATTCACAGTTATTATTACTGTGTATTTCCCCCCATCCTCTTTTTCTCCCTGTTTATATTTTTCTCTCTCCTTTCACCAAGTTCATTCTCATCGGTGTTTTACTTTGACCACCACCTCCCTCCATCTGCCCTCTGTTCTATCAGCTCCCCAACCTCCATGTTTTCTTTCTGCTTTCCCCTCCTACTTCTTTATAGGGTGAGGTAAATTTCTATACCCAACTGAGTGTGTATGTTATTCCCTCTTTGAGTGAAATCCGATCAGAGTAGAGTTAAAGAAAGCTCACCCGCTCCCTTTTTCTACTGTAATAGGTATTTTTTCCCTCTTCATGTGATATAATTTACCCTATTCTGCCTCCCATTTTTCTCTTTTCCTAGTGCAATCCTTTCTTTTTTACCCCTTTTTTATATCATTACATCAAAGTCAGCTTTTACGTATATCCTTTATGTATACTCCCAACTGCCCTAATAGAGATACAGTTCTTAAGAATTCTCAGGTCACAAGTATGATCTTCCCATGTAGGGATGTAAAGAGTTTTAATCTTATTGATTAACATCTTTTATTCTTTCCTGTTTGCCTTTTTATGTATTTGAAGATTTAATTTTCTTTTCAGTTCTAGTCTTTTCATCAGAAAAGTTTGAAAGTCCCCTATTTCTTTGAATGTTCATCTTTTCCCCTGAAAGTTCATCTTTTCCCCTGAAAAATTATGCTCAGTTTTGCTGGTTAGTTGATTCGTGGTTGTAATCCAAGCTCCTTAGCTTCTGGAATATCATATTCTAAGCCTTCTGATCCTTTAATATAATAGCTGCTAAGTCTTGTGTAATTCTGACTGTGGCTCCCTGATATCTAAATTGTTTCTTTCTGGCTGCTTTGCAGTATTTTCTCCTTGACCTTATAATTCTGGAATATGGCTACAATATGTCTAGGAGTTTTCATTTTGGTATCTCTTTCGGGAAATGATCAGTGGATTCTTTCAATTTCTATTTTACCCTCTGGTTCTAGGATATCAAGGCAGTTTTCTTTGATAATTTCTCAAAAGATGCTGTGCAAGCTCATTTTTAGATCATGGTAGTCCAATAATTCTTAAATTTTGTCTCCTGGATGTATTTTCCAGGTCAATTGTTTTTTTTTAATGATATTTTTTACATTTTTTCTATTTTTTTCATTCTTTTGATTTTGACTGATTCTTGATGTTTCTTAGAGTCATTAGTTTCCACATGCCCACTTTTTAAGGAATTATTTTCTCCAGTTAGGTTTTGTACCTCTTTTCTATTTGGCCAATTCTACTCTTTAAGGAGATTTTTCTTCAGTGGATCTTTTTTTTTTTTCCATTTGGCCAATTCTATTTTTTAAGGAGTTGTTTTCTTCAGTCAGTTTTTGTGCTTCCTTTTCCAAGCTGTTAAGTCTTTCTTTCATAATTCTCCTGCATAAGTCTCATTTCTTTTCCTAATTTTTTTTCTACCTTTCTCACTTGATTTAAAATTTTTTTTTTCTGAGCTCTTCCAAAAGGACTTTTTTGGCCTGAGACTAATTCACCTCCCCCTTTGAAGTTTCACATGTAGATATTTTGATATTGTTGTCCTCTTCTGAGTTTGTGTTTTGATCTTCCTTGTTGCCTTAGTAGCTTTCTATGTTTAGGGGTCTTTTCTGTTTCTTACTCATTTTTCAGCCTTTTTCAAGACTTTTAAAGTTGAGCTCCTGGGGCACAGGACTCACTGTCTCAAATTTCTTATGCTGCGTGCAGGGGGGCTGTTCAATGGCTTTCCATGCCATGGCCTCAGGTGCTTGCAGCTTGCCCGCTGTGCCACGGCTTGCTTGGACACTGTCTGCACTAGTTTGCTCTCCCCTTTTTTTTCCCAAGCAAGAAAGACTTTTCCTGAAGTCCTTCTAAGTTATTTTTAGCTGGAAAATTGTTTCACTCTGTTTTTTTGTGGCTTCTGTCTCTCTAGAGTCCATTTAGTAGCTTGATTTAACTTTGTTTCTGAGGGAAACTGGGGAGAGCTCAGGCAACTTCCTGGATTCTCTCTGACATCTTGGCTCACCTCCCCCCTCATATATTTCTTAACGTATTTTAATTAAGCTTCCAGACTGGATTGTATTAATTTAAACTACGTATAATTTCTTTTAATTTTTTTTGTTACTGACTTTGATTAGGCCAGAGTGATTCTTACAAATTAGAGAATTGCATTTCTCTTTGTTCAGGACTTCACTTCCTTTTTAATAAGGTTAATTTCTTAACGTTCAAATTCTCTGCTTTAGAGTCATGTTTCACATGTTCCAATCATGTTTTTAGACCTAGTTTCCACTTTTTCCTTCATTTACTATCTCTCCTTTGCAATTAGCATGATATTCTTATGCACCTCAAATCAGTTGCAAAACAACTTTGTGGTCAGAGGTGAAACTTTCAGATTTATATATAGGCATAGTCCGTCTTTTTACCACATAAAGCATTTCCACTTTGGTTTCTTAAGAACCTGAAACTGCAATGTGTATTTCAATTCATTTAAAAGACTTTGCTTCTAATTTACTATACAATTAAATTCTGCCAGATCATTCAGAGAAGTCCACTGTGATCAGACAAATCAAACTCTAACAATAAAAATGAAATATTGCCCTTTCCTCAGAAGCATCTTGCTTACATTTCTCTTGAGGCAAAACTTTTATCAAGGCTATTAAAAAAAGTCTTCTCAAAGTTGGAGAGGAAACTAACTAGTCAAATGGTTAAATGGTCAGTGTCTGCACAGTGAGGTTTTTAAAAACACAGGGGTCTGTAAGACAAAAACTGAGAAAAAAAAAACCAAAACCTTTAGAGCATTTTTTTAAGGTGGTGACACAGTGCTCCTAGAGAAAACCTGAGTTCAAATCCTGCTTCAGACACTAGCTGTGTGATATTGTGCAAGTTACTTAATCTCTGACTTTCCTCAAATGTAAAATGAGAATAATAATAATAGCCCTACCTCTCAGGGTTGCTGCGAGGATCAAATGAGGTAATATTTGAAAAAGCACTTAGCATAGTGCCTGGCAAAATGTGGGAACTTTATAAATGATTTTTTCCCCTCCTTCCTTTCCTGCTTCTGGATTCACTAGAAAGGGGAAAAAATAAATTGGCTTAAATTTTGTTAGTGATTGAGCATCTTTTGATTTAACAGATGTTACTACTTGATAAGATGGCATGTCTCATCAACAAAGACAAAAACAAACTTTTCTCTGGGTTATTAGCAGCTATTCATTCACCCAAACAAAAATTTGATAGCATACGTTCCTAATTTAGATCAGTTTATCTTTTATTTGAAAACTTTGGCCAATTAATTTTGTCCAAGAATTTGTAAGTGGGCGGGTATATCTCTTGTGAGTGAGATATAAATGCTGGACTTTCCAGGGTCAGAATTATCTTAATACATTCTTTTCCTGTTCTCAGGTCCCTCAACTTTTCCCAAAGTTAGACATTCAGTTCTGACTTCACCAGTGAAGCTGTAGGATCTCAAAGCCCACTGACTCACAGGGTCCTGAATCCAGCCTTACTCGTCTACCCTTGCTTTAGAACTCACTTATCAGAGGAACCTGGAACTAGATGTCACTGACAGGAATCTGCCTCACCCATATAACAGGAAAACTGGTCCCACTTCTACAGCCTCACTTAATCCTGTTTGCCTTAGTTCTCTCATCTGTAAAATGAGCTGGGGAAGGAAATGGTGAACCTTTCCATTATCTTTGCCAAAAAAACAAACCAAAACAAAACCAAACCCAAAACAAACAAACAAACAAACAAAAAGCCAAATAAGGTCACGAAGAGTTAGACATGACTGAAAGAACTCAACAACAATAACAAAATTTTTTGTGGTCCATATTTTGGCTCACAGGGGCACTTCTATCTTTAGAGGCCTCATTTGCCATGCTGGGGGAAGCCCACTGAGCTTCTGGTCAGAATTTCTTTTCTCCTTGAGGTCAGATGTTCCTTGTAGTAATTTGGATCCTTGTCATCAGACACTTTTCTTTTTTCTTTCATATATACTAAACAAACCATCAACAAATTAAAAAAAAAATTATGCTATTTGAAAGATAGAGAGCCACTGTATCTATAGATTTCCTTGAGGAGCTGGTGACAATTAAATTCCTCTTTACTGTTAGGGGCAATGTTACCAAGCTAGAGCTGCTGGTCAGTGCTAAAAAAAGTATCCCTGTCACTGGGTCATGGGGTTGGGCCAATCTCCCTTGCTTTTGGAACATGTTAGGTCTATTTACTTTTGTGATAGCAAGAGGACTGATGTGACTGAAAATGGCTTAGTCCCATCAGCTGTTAGAGGGAGGGCTTATACTGATCTAGCTCAAGATTTGCCATATGCAAAATACAGGATTTCTACAAAAAACAGAGACAGAGACAAATAATTTATTGTGTCTGGTTGATTTTGCCTTCTTCTTAAACAGTCAGATTCCATAAAACTAAAGGAGGAACCAGCAAGACTGTGTAGTTCAACTCTGGAGGGGAAAATAAATCAAACAAAGAACTTTCTAAAATGTTCAAAACCTCTTTTTAATTGGCCATAGAAACCTTATGGACAGAATACGCCCTGGACCAGGATGGCACCCGATAGTGGGATATAAATCCAAAGGCATCATATAACTTTTGAAGGAAAAAAAAACCCAAATAAAACCCTGAACTTGTGTTTTGGGCACAAGCCTTCCAGGACCAATTTACTGATTAAATTATTCTAATTCTATAGACTTTTGCTAAGAGGAAGAAAGGAAGGAAAGCACATATGAAGGAAGGAAAGAAGGAAGAAAGGAAGAAAAGAATGAAGGAAGGAACCCAAAGGGAAGGAAGGCGGAGTGTCTTTTTCTAGGAAGAGCAAAGTGGCCAGTGACGCTGGATTGAAGAGTACATGAAGTAGTATAAAGTGTAAGAAATACCTACAGCAGCTCTTTCTGTGGTGGTAAGCAAAATAAGAGGATATCCTGCAACTGAGGAAGACTAAGTTATGGTTTATGAGTGTGATGGAATACTATAGTGCTGTAAGAAATGAGGGAAATAAGGGCAGCTAGGTGGCACAGTGGATAGAGCACCAGCCTTGGAGTCAGGAGGACCTGAGTTCTAATTTGACCTCAGACACATAACACTTACTAGCTTGTGTGAAGGGGGCAAGTCACTTAACCCCAATTCTCTCACAAAAAAAGAGAAATGAGGGAAATAGAGGATTATAATATAATATCGATATTATAATGTAATATCGATATTATAAGAAATGAAAAATGTTGAGGATTTTTATAAACTGATGAGAATGAAATAAGCAAAACAAGAAGAATTTATACAGTAATAACACTGTAAAACAAAATTTTCAAAGCTGTAAGAATTATGATCAGTATAATGACCATTGATGAGATTAATGATATATATATATATATATGTTCACATAAACATGTATGTATGTATGTGTATTTATATGTGTATGCATGTCACTCCAGACCAAAGTCCATTGGCATAAAACTCTCTCCTTATTGGTGGAGATCAGCGTTCCAAGACTGCATGCAGGTTTGGGAAGAATTGGCAAGCCACTTCAGATCTCTTTGGCTCTTCAGTTGCTTTGAGAGCTTCTGGCTCTGGCTTTGAGATGATACTAACCCCCCTTCAGGTTACTGCAGGGAAAGACTCTTGGAAGAAGCTGACATGGGAGGAACTGTCATTTTCCATTATGTCCTTACTCTCATCTTGCTGTGCTAGTGGGAAACTTCTTTTTGGCTGAGACCTAGTACTTTCTCTCTCTTGGCTCAGCTGTTACTTTGCTCCCAGTGGGAGAACTCTTTCATTCTATATTTCTAGTATATATTCTCCTATGTAGACTTTCTGTGATTTGTTTTTTTGCTATTTGACTTGGATAAATAGGTTTATTTGTTACTACCTATGTGTATGCACTGTGGATCTGGTCCACACTGGTCCCCCTGGTGGGAAAGAGGTCAAGCTTTTGATATAAAGCTGAGGTTCCTATTTTCCTCATGGATAAAATAGGGGTCAGAAGTTACATTGAACCTCAAAATCATATCTCCTAGACTAACACTATTTAAGGGAGTAGATAGATACAATCCTAGCCCAGTTATCATGTGTCTCTGAGGAGAACAGGATGAAAAGTTGTCTGGCTCCAGCCTCCTGCTTCCTCACCTGAAATGAATTAAAATATCCCTTGGAAAAGGGTAGAGGAGAAGAGGCTAGAGATACCTGTTCTGTCTCCCTTTGAGCCACACAGTGATACCCCCATGCTACTTGTGGGGGAGAGGTCTTGCACTATAACTCCATATTTATATAAAGGGAATTTGTTTTCCTCACATATACATATTTGTTACAAGAAATTTATCCTTTTTTGTTTTTCTGCAATGTGATTACAGGTGAGCAGGAGAGAAAATAGATTCATTCATTAAAAAAAAGAGGGGCATGGGGAGATGCTAAAGTTGCTCAATCTAATATGCACTTCCTGATGAAGTCACTGTAGTATTAGTTTTACTTATCTTTTACTTTGTTACAAGAGACCTCTCATGAAGTGTAAATAATCTTGGCTTACTTCTTAAACAGGCCTAATCACTGAATGGATGTTGCCTCAGTCAAAGTGAGAACTTAGAAAGACCTAAGCTAGCACTTTATACCATGGAAATTACATTGTATGTTCCATGGTATAAAGCACTAGCATTTGGGTGTATCAGAATAGTCTGATAGAAGTCACACTTGAACTGAACTTTGAAGAAAACGAGGCATTCTATGAAACAGATATGAGATGGGAGTGCAGTCCAGGCATGGTTTAACATCCTGTATAAAGGCATGGGAGCAGCAATTGATATTATTTATTCTTCATTCTCAAAGAGGACCAGTGATGGCTTGACTTGGGAGTGAATTGGCTTTAAGTGAGGTAGAGCTACGCAGTCATCAGCTTTACTCTTTCCTCCAGAGTTATCAGAGTCCAGTGGCAAAATAAGAATCAAGACCACTGGGGATGGCCCAGGATACAATGGGCTTCCCTGGCATTTTTTCAGGGGGGCAGCTAGGTGGCACAGTGGATAGAGTACTAGGCTTAGAACCAGGAGGACTCATCTTCATGAGTTCAAATCTAGTCTCAGGAACTTACTAGCGGTGTGACCCTGGTCAAGTCACTTAACCCTCTTTGCTTTACTTTCACATATATAAAATGAGCTAACCAAGGTAATGGCAAATTCTTCCAGTATCTACGCCAAGAAAATCCAAAATGAGGTCATGAAGAGTTGGACACAACTGAAGCCACTCAACAACAACAACAAAAAACATGGAGATGGGAATGCCATTTTGTGTACAGGAAATAGTAAGGCTTGTTTGGTTAGCTTGTAAATTAAGAGAAGAGGAATAATAACATAATAAATTTTGGAAGATGGGCTAGATCCAGATTAGAAAAGACTTTAAATGCCAAGAAGAGAACTCTGCATGTTGTCCTAGAGGCATGAGGGGGGCACTAGAGCTTCTTGAACAAAGTTATAATGTGGTCAGCTCTGTGCTTCAGGAATATCAATTTGGCATCTTCATGAAGGCTGAACTAGAATTAGAGATGAATTGCTACACTATTGCAATAATTCTGATGAGAGTTATGACAGCTTTAATAGGGTTGTTAATATATGAGTGGAGAAAAGGATATGGTGCAAAATATATAGTGGAAGTATAATCAACATGATTTGGTGAATGATTAGATAATGAAGAATTAGGGAAAGGCTACACCAAGCATGACTATGAAATTGGGCATCTGGAGGGATGGTGATACATTAACAGAAATGTGGAATTTATGAAGATGGAAAGATTTTAAAGAAAAGATAAAAATCCTTGCTTTGGGCATATTAAAACTGAGATATCTATAGGACATCCTGTTGTTGAGATCCAGCAGGCAGTTGGTGATGCAGAACTGCAGCTAAGAAGAAAGAATGGGGCAGCTAAGTGGAACAATGGATAGAATCCTAGACCTAAAGTCAGGAAGACTTGAGTTCAAATCTGGTCTTAGGTACGTACTAGCTTTGTCATCCTGGACATATCTCCTAACTTCTGTTTTCCTCAGTTTCTTCATCTCTAAAATGGAGATGATAATGGCACCTCTGTCCCAGGGTTGTTGTGAGGATAAAATAAGATAATGTTTGTAAAGCATTTTGCAAACCTTAAAAGCACTATATAATTATTAGCTATTGTTACTGTTGTTGTTGAATATGATGGAGTTAGGTTCTAAAGAAAGCACATAAAGCAAAAGAAGTAAATAGTCAAAGTTACCCTTGAATATTCCTTACTTTGGAAGGCTTTGAATTCTTTTTTATAAGAAATCTACCCCCTTTTTGAACTTTTGAGCAGCTGGTAGATGCTTTGAGCCAGTGCTAGTAACACGGCTTATTGATGGACACAAGCTTATTAATGCTTTCCCGATATGAATTTAATGCCTTTTTAGTATTCACTAATGCCTTTGCCATTTGTAAATATCTATAAATGCCAGTACTTTATTATTCAAATGGAACCTAAATTAAATTAAGTGAGTGTGGAATTCCTCCTCCCCAAACCTAATGGCCACACTGAGGAAGATAAAGAATTAGCAAGGAGTTAAAATATAGGAAAGTCTTTCTTTGCAATGAAGAAATCCAGGAGACACCTGAAACTCTGCTTTTACTTCATGTCATGATAAGAGGAGCAGGAAACCTTCTCTCTTGGTAATCAGGATCTGCCTCACCAGTGCATCAACTAGGCATTTATTCCATCACAAAAGCTCCAGTTTTTGTCTCCTCTGGGAAAACTGTGAAGCCCTCCTATGAAGATGTGGCCTTAGCCAATGTTTTATTATTTGTAGTCTTATGTCATTACCTGGATAATATTGATGAACTTTTGTAGCAGTGACCTGTTTGGGATCCTTAGAATAGCCATATATTTGATCCAGCTCAATAGCTTCCTCCTAGTCAGTTATGAGCCAAGTTCATTGCCTTGCTGTGGTTGTTCCTGGAGATCTGTGTGTTGATGAATCGCTTTGTTGGGTTCTCTGCAAAACTGATGCGATAATCTGGTCAATATAATTTTATTCTGTTGTGCGATGGCCCTCTTCTGAGTGACCATTGATCTCCTTTGGCAAACAATACAGTATTCTGGGATCAATGCAGTTAAGTACAATACTTTGGGTAAATAATAGTATCTGAAGTACTTTTCTGACAATAGATGATCCCCTTTCTATTTGTACTTCACACAGGACATTATTCTCAACAGGCCATACAGAGGATAGAGTTCTGAGCATAAAGTCAGGAAGACTGGAATTCAAATCCTGCCTCAGACACTTCCTACCCTGGGCAATCCACTTAACTTGTTTGCCTTACTCAGTTCCCTCAACTGAAAAATGGAGATAATGATAGCTTTTATCTCCCAGGGTTGTTGTAAGGACCAAATAAAATGCTTAGTACAGTGCCTGGCACATAGTATGCACTTAGTAAATCCTTATTCCTTCCTTTCCCTGGCAAATACTTGTTATGAACATATGCTTTCCTATACGATGACTTGCTTTATGACAGTAGTTATATTATGAAGTAACCCAGGAAAAATTAGAGAAAAAGAGAAGGACTCATGGAAAGGATGATGCTTGATCTGGATTTTGAAGGAAGAGAAAGATTAAAAGAGGCAAAGATGACAAAGGGATGCATTTAAGGCATGAAGGATGAATTGAATACATGAATAGAGGTAAGATTATGTAGTATGGCTGGCACATAGTTATCCATTTCCCT